TCCCCCGAGGCTTTCAAAGCTGCTGCAGCTTTGCTCCCGGTGCCTCTGGTCTGCAGGGGACCATCTCCAGCAGACCAGGGACACCGGGAGCAAAGGAGGCGGAGGGGCGCTGGGGTATAAGATGAAACCCTATCTTTTAATTAAAAAGATAGGGGGTCGTCTTATACGCCCAGTCGCCCTATACGCCGGAAAATACGGTACTCAGAAATGTGTGAGTTAGCTTGAAAAAGAGGGCAAGAAGAGACAAAGTAACATCAAACTTTGGGAAGCTTAATGATGAGTTGGACCTTGAACTTTATCATCATGGCTAATTCAAAATGGACATAGCCTCCCTCAGATGGAGTGCCAGAAAAGGACCATGAGCCTAAGCCAGAAAATCAAACAAGGACACATCTGGATTCAGGATGCAAGATTTGAATTAAACCAGGTACATGACAGAGGAGCCCCGATATCAGTTGTACACCATCTTGGTTCACCCTTATGCTGGAATAATCCTTCCCTAGCCAAATATACAGCTTTGGAAGGTGGAAGTTGGTGGTGCAGTGCAAAGTGGCTGCCTTTTAATCAATGCTCTGACCCCCCAAAGTTAGTAAATGATGTGACTGATACCATCTGCATTTAGACTGACCAATTTGTACAAGAAACCCAATAGAATGCCTGAAAACTGTACTTTATGCTGAAAATGCCCATAGGATGAAATGGTCACCAGAATGCTATGCTACTGTCAGATAGCACTTCTTTCACTCCATACATATGCAGGCAGTAAATATCACCACGTATAAATGACCACAGAGAGCTACCATTTACAAGGAAGAAAAAAACAGTACCTGTGCAGATTACATAGAACTAACCTGTTTAAATATAAATCAACTTAGCAATCATCTGATTTATTTACTTTTCCCTTTATTAATGATTCAATTCCTGTCCTGGATCCATAGTCTGTTAAGACAATTGTACACACAGTTATAGGCTCAAACAAAATGATTCACACAGACATGGTTGCTCATAACTGAGATTAGATTACTTAAGGAAAAAACAAAACTAACTCTTCCATAGCACAGCAAGTGGAAGCACCGCAGCAGAAATCATGAACAATCCCTTGCACTTCTCCATACATAGCAGCACAATGAGAACAAGCTAAAAGCCCTTTGGACCTACTCCTCTGTCGATTATTTATTAAAGTGCGATATGATGCAACTGTGACATTCCAATGCCCCGTACAGAAAATAAAGCAAACAAACAGTCTGCATATCTCAAATACTACTGGAGCTACAATTTTGATAGACCCTGTCATAGCACTGTACGGCACAGACTGTGTCCCTCAGTATGTAGGCTAGAGATAGTGGTTTCTAAAGTGACCCAGTACATTTCACCATCCTGAACAAAGAATCCCAGAGTTTCCTCTTTTCTCTAGCACAAAGCTCAAGTTACGTGCATGAAGGAAAACGTGTTCATTTTTGCAAAGTGTTGAGAGCTCTCTGTTAGGCTGAGGACCCACTAACACCCTCGGAAGTTAAGAGCACTCATCACCATGTACAAAGAACTGAGTGTCTCACTAGTTTGATCCCACTAAGAGCAGAAATTGTGCCTGCCCCTCTCCTGCCTACAATATATAAGCATGCTCCCAACTATTCATTTGGAAAATCCTAGTCTTTTAAGAGTTTTGGGCAAAATATACTGTTGGCACAGAAAGCCATACCTCTGCCCCACTTAAGCTGATGGTGAAACTGTCAAGGATGGATATATGTTGACTAGAGCATCTGCTGACTATTTAGGAAAGGACGTATGGTTAATTTCAGAGATTTTATCCATTGTTTAGGATCATCAAAGAGTACCATCATTGGAACTTGGTTTAATGTACACAGAATGCTTCATAATCCATCAGCGTCTTTAGTTTATGGTTTTAGGCTATGTCTACTCTGGAAATATTTGGCGATGAAAGTACTGTCAACATGCAAAAGTCACCAAGAAGAGAGTTGCCAAATCATGTTTACACTGCCATTCTGTCGACATATCATGACCACACTGATAGTGCCCCCATCGACAGAAAGAGCAAAGCAATGAGAGTATGCATCCCAGAGTGCCTGGCATCACCATGAGTTGCTAGGCATTTTGGGAACACTCAATGTAGCACAAGGCATTTTGGGAAAGGAAAAAATGATCAATCTCTTCAATTCGTAGCCTTCCTGGAGCTTCCAGCTTATTTTTGTGCCATTTAAAACTGACAGTCCTTGCTGTGTACTCCAGCATCTGCTATGAGAAATCATGAATCCCAGACTTTTCTTCTATGCCAGGGATGTGCAAAAGCAGGTGGATCTGGCCCGCAGAGGCCCTGCTGCTCCTCCGCCCCAGGCCAATTAGGGCCTGGGAATGGGGGAGCACCCGAACCCTTCACCACAATGCTCCTGCGCTGCTCGAAGGGTGGGGGCAGAGCGGAGAAGGCCTCACGGACTCCCCCGCCTCCAGGCCTTACTTGGCCTGCGGGCAGGAGAACATGTGAAGCCTCCTCTCGCCCTGCCAGGAGCACGTGGCACTTTGAAGCACCGTGCACTGCTCACAGGGTGGGAGGGAGAGGGGAGAGCGCAGGAGGCTTTGCGTGCGCCCCCGTCTCCAGACCAATCAGAACTTGGGGGCGGGGAAGCCGTGTGAAGCTTCCTTCGCTCTGCCCCGGCTCTGCGAGGAGCCTACGGCACTTCAAAGTGCTACGTGCTCCTCACAGGGCGGGAGGAGGTTTCTCACGCTCCCCGCCCCCAGATCCTGATTGGCCTGGGGATGGGGGACATGTCAAGCCTCTTCCAGGGCATGGGTGCCTAGTAGGAAGGGGGCCCAAAGGGGCTCTCCCACCCCCAGACCAATAACAGTCTGAGGGTGGGGTAGCCCCGACTCATCTTGTTTAGACCCCGTCCCTTCTTGTTTAAGTCCCTCCCTGTTGGGGTGGCCCGAAGCTACTTCAAAAAATTTTGAAATGGCCCCCAGCCAAAAATTATTGCCAACCCCTGTTCTATGCTGTGTTCAATATGCTTAGGACACCAATCATTGCAGAAGAGCTATTGCTGTACTTACACTCAGAGGAAGAAGACTTGGATGTGGATGACAGTGTGAGTGACTTCACATTTGCATTTGGCTGCCATAGAGCAGCTGTGCAGAGAAGAGCATCACTTTTGAGCCAGGGACTGCGTGGTGGGATCACATGGTCATGCAGGTGTGGGACAAAGAGCAGTGGCTACAGAACTTCAAGATAAGGAATGCAACCTTCTTGGAGCTGTGTGCTGAGCTGACGCCTGAACTGCAGAGCTGCTCTCTCAGGAGAGAAACATGTTGCCATTGCTTTATGGAAGCTGACGACTCCCGATTGCTACCGTTCAGTTGCAAATTTAGAGCAGGGAAGTTTACCATTGGGGCAGCACTTCTGCATGTGTGCAGGGCAATAAATTACATTTTGATGGTCAAGACTTACTTCGGGGAATGTGGATGATATAAGGGCTGGCTTTGCAGAAATGGGCTTTCCAAACTGGGGCAAGGCAATCAATAGCACACATATTCCTATTATAGCTCCACTCCATCTTGCCACAGAATACACCAATTGGAAGGGGTGCTTCTTGATGGCACCTGTGGATCACTATGGGCATTTCACAGACATAAATGCAGGTTTGGTCTGGAAAGGTACATGATGCCTGCATCTTCCGGAACAGGGGCCTACAGAAATCTCTAGACAGGGACTGTTTTTTTCCAGATCACAAAATTACAATGCGGGATGTGGAAATGCCCATAGTGATCCTAGTGACATGCCTAACCCCTTACAGCCCTGGCTCAGGGAGCCTTACACAGGGCGTCTAGACAGCAGTAAAGAGTGGTTCAACAACAGGCTAATGGCAGACTGAAAGGGAGATGGAGGTGTTTCTATGGCAGACTAGACCTTATGGAGGATCATATTCCAATAGTGGTGCCCGCATGCTGTTGCTTACATCATTTGTAAGAGAATAAGGGTCAAGTGTTTGCCCGTGGATGGAACACTGAGACACAACAGCTGGGCGTACAGTTTGAACAGCCAGACACCTGGGCTGTCAGAGGAGCCCCTAGGGTGGCCATCAATATCAGAGCGGCTCTGAGGAATAATGTTGACAATAAGGGGTGCTGACATTTCTGTATTTTGGGGTTGCTTTTATACCACATCCCACTGCTTATCCTGAGTGAGGCATTCCCATTAAACCCAGGGATGTTACAGGCTTCCACAGGGACCAGGGCGACTGGTGTAGGTTGTGTCACACAAATTAAACTTATTGAAACCTGCATCAGCTTTGTCTTGATTGATCCCTTTCAATCACAGCTGCACACCAAGAGTGAATGCTCAGTGGTCAGGGAGGGTAAGAGTTATTGAAAATCCTCATAACTGTGTTAATGTCCATCTGTCAAAGTCACAACTGCTATGTCAGGGAGTGGAATGTGCTGGTTAAAAAAAAAAAAACCCACCCCGACAGTGAAAAGGAGTGTGTGGCTGTAGAGGGAGAACAACAGTGAAAAGGAGTGTGTGGCTGTAGAGGGAGGGCTGCTAGCTCCAAAATTTTCCATGTGCCACTCCTTCCGTGTGGGTACAGAGGGAGGGTTGCTGAGTAAAGAATTTAGCATATGCTGCCAGGGAAGTCTTTGGTTACAAAATTTTCCATGTGCCACTCCTTCGGTGTGGGTACAGAGGAAGGGTTGCTGAGTAAAGAATTTGGCATATGCTGCCAGGGAAGTCTTTGGTTCTGTTTGCTCTGCATTTTGATAAGACACTTCAGCATCTCAGTCTGGACTGCCTGGAATTTTAGCATCCCATCAGTGGTGTCTGTCCTTGCTTTCATTTCCCGGGTCTGTCTTTCTTCCCTTTTCTCGATTTGAAGCATTGAATGCTGCAAAATATCCTTCACTAGATCCTTTCTGGACCTTGGAGGTCTTTTCATGAGTTGACAGAACCTGTCAATGGGGGAACAGGTCTGCCTTCTTGAGGTCTGGTCTGGAAAAGTAACTTAACAATAGAGTGACTGTACTGCTCCTGATAAAGATTGAAACATTTCATTAACTTACACTTCTCTGAACAAAAGCAGCCACTTCTCCTGTTATCGTAGAGGCAAACACAGATCTCTCCAGGCACTCTGACCATGGTTAGTTTAAAGGTGGGAGGGACAGAGGGGGAAGGAAAGTTGAGCACAGAACTCCAAGAGAGTACAGTCCACACTTGTTCAGCATGTGTAGATGCAGGGGCAGCCCGTGAACACAGACAGACTCAGCGGTTGCCTAGGGCGTAGCCTTCAACGGGGCGCCCGATGACGACATCCTGCCATCGACAGCCATGCAGGCAGGGGCACCGATCGCACATTCTGCCTGGGGTGCTAGCTGCTGCAGCCGGCCTCAGGCCGCTCCTATGTAGATGGACATCATTTGTAATAATGCTATGCTTGTCCACAGGCTGTCATAACTCTGGCTGACATCTCGCTGCTGAAGGTTAACAGGGAGACCCAGACTCTGCATCTGGATCTGAGCAGGGCAGCACGCCGCTCTTTACGCCCAACCCTGTGCTGCCTAGATGTTGGTAGCACAGCATGAGGGATGGTTGAGGAGAGTGTTGTGTCATGGCGTGGGGTGGGGGGGGGAAGAGAGGGAAAAGGCATCCCTGCCATGGAATCTCTATGACAAAATTAATAAGTACCTCAGGCAAAGCTTCCACACCATCTCCCAGCAAGATTCTATTGATAGCTCTATGTGCATCAACCCCGTTTGGACATAATGCAGACCCAGGCAGGGCTTAGCCAGCTGACAGAAATACGGTCACCTTGTGCCACTGCTACACCCTCCCTCACACACACTGCAATAGGGTGGGTCACTCTCAGTTGTGCTTAAACTGATGCTTCATGCCACACACTGATAAGATCCAAAAGCTCTGAGGTGCTCCAAGCAGGAGAGCATCTTGAGCAATAACCACTCCTGGTTCCTTGAAAAGATGCCATGGGGAGCACTCCATGCTGAGCCAGCCAGCAGGACATGGATTTTAAAGTTCCCAGGGTTTGCAAAGCGGAGGGCAAAATTTCTGTTTGCCTGTTTATGTGGCTGCAGAGCAGCCAAGTTCAAAGCACTGGCCAGAGTGGTTAATTGTGGCACTGTAGGAAACATCCTGGAGTTCAAAAAACAAAAAAATAAAAGCCTACTATAGCACACACGGCATGATCAAGATATGGCAAGATCAGGCCAAATGTTTATAAAGCACTATATAATTGCTAAATATTATTTTTCATTTGTCCAGGACTCAGACTCCTGTACATGTATCGACATCCTTGAGTGAACAGGAAGCAGTCATTTGTCAGATATGGCATATTTGCCAATCCTCAAGTGAAAGTCAGTTTACCTCGTTTCTGTATATCTGTAAGCAAGTAGGTTCTAGTTTATTTGTGGCAGACTCCATCTTTGTACAGTCACATGCCTATTATCCGCCTTGTCTTTGTCAGGTGCCTTTTTCCTCCCCAAAAATCTATGGGCATCTCTCCCAGGACAGAATTTGCCTAGTTAAGGAAATGTATTTCCTGCAAGAGATAACACATAGTGCTTTGTTTATGGAACAATGTGGTATTTTGAATGGAACTAGATGGCAATACAAAATGGAGAGATCATCTCTAAAAACCTTTTCACGCTTTAATGGCCAAGGTATTCTCTTTTTATTACCATTTTATCTTTTCAAAACTCTGTCTTATCTTTACAAGGTGCCTTTTTTCTTCTGTTGCTGTCTTTATTCTGATACTTTCATACAAAAGACAAAGCTCATCACAGAAGCACAGGCTTGGGACTCAACAGAAGCTTTTGAAAATCTCCCTCATAAAACACAACTGGGACTCATGTGCTTGATTCCCACTGAATGTCACTGAGACTAGGCATCGATTCAACCTTTTTTATTTTTGAAAAGCTCTCCCAATATTAAGGATAAAGAGTGAAGTTTTCACATTCACTGATTTTAAGTCCAGAAGCTGCCACCTTGACTTCCTGTATAACAGACCAGACAATTTCATCCAATTTCCTCCTCTATTAAGCCCTCACTTGAATGAGAGTTAGGCTGAAAAACTACACATCTGTAATCCTATGAAAATAAATTATGCCAGATAAGCACCTTTTATATTGGTATGACAGCTATACTGGGGAGTTGTATGGCTTTGCGTCAGTTTTTAAATTAATATTTTAAAGTGACCCAAAACTGTGTAAAAAAGCCCTAAAAGGCATCGTAAAATTATCCTTAAATACTTAGTGAGCCAAAACATGACTCAGCAAGCTCCACCTGAACAAGCTCTGCAGGTCACAGTCCCAACAGGTGTGTGGCAGGACTGCAAGCTTTGTGCCGGTGTCAACTAGGGATGTTAGATATCATGTAACTGAATAGTCGAGTAACTGCATGAAATCTTAGTGGTTACATGACTATTCAATAGTCCCCAGGGTCAGGGTTGGCAGCCAGGGCACTCCTGGGCCCCAATCCCAGGGAACCCCTTGCCACCCCTCACTGCTGCGCAGAGACAGCAGCGCAAGGTGTCAGGTGGAAGCTGGTCCATGAAGAGAGCCAGTTTAAAAACTCGCTTCCCATGCAGACCGGCTGCCTGCTGCCCCATGCTGCTGAATCTGATACAGAGTCAGCAACACAGGGTGGCAGCAGCCCATATC